GTGAATGCTCATTACACTTGACAGCAGTTACTTGTGAAGCACAGTGAGATGTTCCAACATTAATGACTCCACCTCAGAATGAAGGTGATTGTCGTCGATACCCTGCCAGCATTGGCACTTAGTCAAAACCATCAGAAACCAAGCAAAACCATTCACGGAACGAGGGCTTCACTTTCAGAAGTGGGGTCAGGAGCAGTCCTGACCCTGAGAGAGGCCAGGGGAAAGTGGCACTGAGCCCCAGGAGCAATGAACTCACAATTTCATCTTGTTATTCAGCCTCGCAGGTGATGGTAACCATTGCTGTATGTGTGTTCCTTCCAGAGACCTATGGCATTGAGCAGTAATCAGGCAATCGAGACACATTGCAGACAGGTCAGGGCCCTGTAACTCAGCAGATCTGACAATGCAGCTTACTGCAGCCACCCAGCACGTCTGGCAAACACAGCAACAGGCAATACTAGAATATTGGCTGTGTGTGCAATATCAGATTGGGTTTCCCTGGTTACTGGCTGTTACTGGGTTACTGTCTGTGCGTTTGTTATACCAATGCTGGTTACTGTGTTTTTCTATCTGCTTTGATCCATTTGAGACATCGCCCAGCTCTGACACTGCCTCTACCCTCAGACCGCCAAAATCCTCATCTACGCATTTATTACATCTAGTCTCAAATACGCCAACTCACTGCTTGTCAGCCTTTCTATCTCTTCCCTCCACAAGCTGCAGATCATCCAGAACTCTGCAGCTCGCGTCCTCTTCCGCACTAGGCTCCACTGACTTCCCATCCTCAGAAGATAGAGTTCAAAATGCTCTCCTCGCCATTAAAGCCCTCCACGGCCTTGCTCCTTCCTATCTCTACGACCTACCATATCAATCTGTCCACTCCCTTCACTCAGCAGGCTCCGGCCAGCACTGGCCAATCTAGCCCGCAGGCCAGAAGCGGCCCCCTTAACATCCACACAAGTCTAAATAAGTCCGTGTTCGATCGGCAGTGTGTTTTCAGTTGAGTTTTATTTTATTCAGCACCACTGAGCTAGCCGGTTGCTCAGCACTGATGAGGCTGGTTTGAATGATGTCTGACTTGCCACAGGCATTGCAGAGCACCAACACCAGCCTGAGGTTCTTTAGCAAATACGTTTTTGCATGGTGTCAGTGCTGATCTCAGTGAGCTCAGGGTGGCTTCCTTTGGAACCGATTCCTTTCTGCTGCTATTTGGTTCGCGAGCCGCACTCAGCAGAGGCTGGCCTGTGTAAGAATGGCATTTTCTCCCACCCAGCTCCATGGCTTCACCACGCAATGGTCTGGCAGCTGAGGATGTGCAATTGAAACCTATCGTAGTTTTGTTCATCTTTTACCCTCCCATCCCCAGCTCAGGTACCAGGCTAGCTTTGTCAAGCACTTTGAGGCATCCTCCTGACTTGAAAAGCACTGTATAAATATAGATTGTATTGAAGCTCTGCTCAGCAGACATTTGGTTCCAATGGTAACACTTGCCTCTTGAAGTCCTGTGTTGGGGTTTGATCTCAGGTTAGGCTGACGCAATTGCTTATTATGGGGCAGGGTGTGGGTTGCTGCATTGTCAGAATTGCCAGCTTTCGGGCGAGATATTAACAAAGTCTGCTTGTTCAGGTGGAAGATAAAGATCCTCTGGTACTATTAGAAAATAGAGGAGAGATTCTCCCATGTCCTGGTTATAAAAGACCACAAAGCTATAAAAGTAGTAATTTTATCTTTATTTTGTTAGTAATCGTAGTGTAATACTCGTTCAGCTTTACCAGATTCACTTCTTGCCAACTACAGTCAGTTCACTTTACAGTATATTCCTTGAAGCGTTTTGAGACGTCTCAACGATGTGATAAGGCACTGTATCAAATATAAGGATTATTATTATTACAGAACCAGCCGGATGTGCCACAGCTAATAATAATAATAATAATAATCCTTGCATTTGATATAGCGCTTTTCACGTCGGGAGGACGTCCCAAAGCGCTTCACAGAACATACTGCAAAGTGAATTGACTGTATATTTGTGGGCGAACGCGGCAGCCAATTGCGCACAGCAATGTCCCACAAACAGTCGTAGATTGAAAATGACCAATTAATTATTGTTTTTGTTTTTTTGTGTGGATTTCTCAATGGATTTCTGTGTGGTGGAGGTGGATGGGCTTCAGTGAGTCTCACAGAGCAGCTCAGTGGGTTTCCAGAGTACTGTAATTGAGTTTCCTCAGCGGAGCACTGGGGCACCTGGCAAGTGGCTGCCAGCACTCTTTCCATCCAGTGACTGCCAGAAGTGGTGACTGTATGAGCATTAATTGCGTCTCATGTAAAATTAGCTTCTAATATCCCTAGTAACGGCAGGTAAGAGGTGACTGCATTAGTTGCATGGCAACATCAAATAAGGGATAGCTGGCTTTAATGAGGCTGCTCTTCTCTCCCTCGATGCTGTGGTGTGTTATCACTGTGCCACATTCTGCCCAGAGGTAGCCTTGGCTCTTGGTTGTTACCGTGCTACTCAGCTCCCCCGGGCACAAGGGAGGCTTTGACCTGATGTAACTGGTACAGTCTTTGTAGAATTGCCTCCAGAGCACAAGTCATTTGATGCTCCAGGTGTGTGTGTGTCCAACTCTTGATTTTACTGTATCCTCGGTCCTCAGCGTTCTCGGTCTAACCGCCCTACCATCGGTGGTCGGGCCTTCAGCCTCTCAGCCCCGAGGCTCTGGAACTCCATCCCCCAGTGCCTTCGCCACCTCCTCCCTTTCCTCCTTCAAGGTCGGTCTCAAGACCTTTCTCTTCAACTGTGCCTTCAGCTCCCCTCTCGACTCTCTACCCCCTCCTCGCTCCCTCCCTTCCCTCACCCTGACCATTTCCCCCCCTACTCGGGTCCTGACCCAACTGTACAGCGCCTTGGGACGTCCTCCCGACGTGAAAGGCGCTCTATAAATGGAATCTTGTTGTTGTTGTTCTGTTTCACCTCCTTTCAACTGGTGCTCATTTTCCCCACCCCCCTTTATCTGATCCCATTTCCTACTCTCCCTTATCATGTCTGTGCTAGTGCTCTTTCCCCACTGGAGCTCTCTACTCTAATCCCATTTCCCTGTTCTCCCCCCATCGTGCCTGTACTGGTGCTCGCTCCCCACTGGAGCTCTCTAATCGGTAGTGTTCACCAGGAACGAGGATGCAGAGGAGACATGTTTGAGTCTGTTCAAACGGATTCTGTGAGTTAGTTGTGTATTCTAGTTTAATGGTTAGTGGTGACTAAAATAAAACACAAAGCCTGTCATGCAAACTAATTGGCAATGTTTAACCCCCCCACCCCTTGGGCAGCAGAGAGGTCCCAGCAGGTTCTGTGCCCTATCCGGCCGGCTAACGTGCTCATGGACTATTTGCATTCCAGATTGACATGCCACCCGGGCGCACCGGCGAGCTCAACGGGAATGTAACATACAACTTACTGAATCCCCAGCTTTTGTGATAACTGGAGCTCAGTAAAGGGGTTCACACTGCCTCCCACCCAACAACCAGAACGGAGGGAGCAGCAGTGACACCCCAGTTAGTGATCCCATGCCTAACACGCTGCTTGTAGCTGCTTGGTCACATTTCTTCCTCAGTGTTGCTCTCCTCTTCCCCCTGGGAAAGGAGCTCCAGCAGCACCTCCACACAGGGGTGTGTTTCCCTCAGCATTGCTCACGGTTCATCACAGCTTTTCCTGGAGTATTCTGTTTCTCCCGGTTCCTGGCCGACAATCCCCCACATCCCTTTCTGGTCTCCACATTATAAAGATTTAGCAGTGATGGAAAGAGTATAGTGTAGGTTTACGACAGTGCTACCAGGGCTGGTAAGTTACTGCTATCAGGATAGATTAGGCCTTTTTTTTTGCAAGAGAGGAGATGTTTAAGGTGGGGACCTAATAAAGATGTTCAAAATAATTTAAAAAAAGGTTCAGTAAGGTTAACATTAATAGGTTGTTTCCACTGGTTGGGGAGTCAGTAACCAGAGACACAAGTATAAGATAGTAACCGGGGGATTGAAAAGAGAATTTAGGAGGAAATACTTCCTGCAGAGGGCAGTGAGATTGTGGAACCCGCTGCCTTAAGCAATGGTTGAATCAGATAGTGTAGATACATTTAAGAGAAAGCTGGACCTTCATGTGAGGGAGAGGGGAATAGAGGGTGTGGGAGGGCGTCAGGAATGAGTGAAGACTTGTGTGGAGTATAAACACCGGCACAGACTAGCTGGGCCAAGTAGCCTATTTTTGTGCTGCACAATCTTCTGTGTAGATAAAATCATTCACTCATCACACGGTTGTTTGTAGGACTTTGCTGTGTTAAAATGACTGCCACCTTCATCTCTAAAACAGAGTCACTTCACTTTACAGTATATCCTGTGAAGCACGTTGAGATGCCCTCCCGACATGAAAGGTGTGATATGAAGTGCCAGGGTGATTATGACTAATCACCGGGTCGGTGCGGCTGAATTATACAGTGTGTAATTCTGTCAGTATTGTCAGAGATTTGTGTCAGAATGTGACGTGTGGGCAGATGGTGCTGAACCAGTGCTGCAGTGAAGTCAGATTTGCAAGTGGCCGCGAGTGACTGAATGGTGTTTTGTTCTGGGTTTTTGGTTCAGATTTTATATGGTTTGTTATTTGTTTTCCCAAACCTGAGGTGGCTTCAAGCCAAAAGGCATTCTCAGCCAGCACTGCTCTGCACCCTCAACAGGACACTGTCAAACCACTAACCCCTTTTCCCGCCCCCACACCCTTCTCACTGCCCTCCCCCACCCCCCCCGGCCCTCGCTCGCTCCCCCCGGCCCGCGCTCGCGCCCCCTCGTTCCTCTCCCGTCCCTCTCGCTCTCCCTCACTCCACCACCCTGGTACTGCCCCTCATTCCCCTCGTCCTGCTCACTCCCCACACCCACTTCCCCCCAACCCGCTCACTCCCCCACTGCCCCTCTCTCCCCTTTTCACTCTTGAATTGGTGAAAATATTTCTTGTTTTTTTCCAGGTTGAAGAATCTACAAAGATAAATGAAGAAAGGTGAGTGTTTGTATCGACTGTCACACACACCTCCCACACTCCTCCGACACATTACACACAGAGACTTCACACACCCCCACCACACACTGATCTCCCACGCACTGACCTCCCTCCCAAACACTGACCTCCCACACTCACCACCACTTCTCACGAGGGAGAGCTAGAATCTAAATCAAAGGCTTCCACACTGGAGCTCTCTAGTATAATCCCATTCCCTTCTTTTTCTTTCTCGCAATAGTACAGATTGTGCTTCACCCAGAGCTTTGGTCAGACACAATGTGAAGTCATACACTTTGGCTCTACCACTAAAGACTGTTTGTGAATGGGGATGTAGGTAATAGGGCAATGGACAAGTGATAGCCACTGAAGGTCAGCTCACAGGTGCAAACATCACTGAAAAAGGCCAATGGTATTTTGTCTTTTATAATAATAACTTGTTTGATACAATGCTTTTCACAGTAGTTGAAAGAACTTCACAGGATTGTGAAGATCCTGAATGAATGTCCAATTTGCACAGCAGTGTCCCATAAACAGCCATGAGATCTTTACATGCACTTGAACAGGCACAGTTGGGAACTCGGTTTAGCATCATCCAAAGAACGGATCATAAAGAGGGAGAGCTAGAATCTAAATCAAAAGCAGTGATGTTATAGTGGTATAATGCCCTTTTCTCCTTAAACAGAGAGGATCGAGGGTGATGTGATGGAAGTGTTTAGGAGAGTAAAGGGAATTGACAGAGTGGGTGAGGTGAGATTGCTCTGTGGGAGCAGAATGCTTAATCTAAAACTTAGACGCTGTCAGCAGCGAAACCACAAGACGTTTCTTTAATAATATATATATTTGATAAACTCAGAGGTGTACGATTGTGAAATTCAATTCCTGAAAAGCTTGCATTTCGCCCACAAAATATAGTCAATCCACTTTACAGTGTATTCTATGAAGCACTTTGAGACGTCTCGAAGACGTGATAAGGCACAAGATCAAATGCAAGGATTATTATTATCGATACAGAGTTGGTGAGATTGTTTGAAGAGGAAAGTAGATAAATACCTACTAGTAAAGTTATTGGGGACAGAAAGGGCAGGCGAGTAGGACTGAGTTATAGATCAGCCATGATTCAAGAGCTGGCCTCCTTCTGTTCTAATAACCCACTCTATCATATCAATCACATGCTCCGAACACTGGTTTTAGTGATATTAAATTAATGCTGTCCAGTTACTGACTCCCTTTTCTCCCCAATTCCCCTGTGGGAAACTAATCACCACTTAGACACGAACAGTGATGTAGCCTTTGGTTTGCAGGTGTGCTGAACAGTCCGAGCCCGGGACCACCCAGGTCAACCCTGCTCCGCAAGGGGAGGAAGCCGCTGAAGTGGCCGTCACTGCTCCCAGCAATGGGTCAGCCGTGACCCGCCCTGAGCCTGGAAACACCACCATGGAGACAGAGACAAGCATGGAGAGTGGGACAGCTTCCAGAGAGCAGACTCAGGCCTGCCCTGTCACCAGCACCATGCCAGGAACACCCCTGGACACCACATGCCCTGATGCCACGCCAACATCCCCGCCAACCGAGCCCGGGAAGCTGGAGACAGCGACCAGCGGGGCTGCCGTGCCGGGAGGTCCCTCCGACTTGGCTGCTAGGCTGGGGGTCCCTCACCCTACGCCAGTCACTGGGAACGCACCCACAAAGCCAGCACCTGCCCCTGACATACTCACTAAACCGCTACCTATGCCAGCGACGGCAGATTCCAACATCTTGACAAACAAACATGTGCCCGCTATGCACAATCCACCCGCCAAGCTTGCCATCATAGCAACAAACTCCATCCAGCCCCCCGCTGGTACAGTCGCTCCTGGCACTAAACCTGGCATAGTGCAGACCAGCACAGTTACCAAACTTGACACAGCGCAGTCTAGCACAGTTACCAAACCTGGCACAGCGCAGTCTAGCACAGTCACCAAACCTGGCACAGTCACCAAACCTGGCACAGCGCTGTCTGGGACAGTCACCAAACCTGGCACAGTCATCAAACCTGGCACAGCACCGTCTGGGACAGTCACCAAACCTGGCACAGTCACCAAACCTGGCACAGTGCTATCTGGGACAGTTACCAAACCTGGCACAGCCCAGGTCAGCCGAGCTGCTACTGGCACTAAACCTGGCACAGTCACCAAATCTGACACAGTTACCAAACCTGACACAGTTAACAAACCTGGCACACCACAGTCTGGCATGGTTACCAAACCTGATACGTGTACTGAACATGGCACAGATACCAAACCTGGCACAGTCCCCACCAGTGTAGTCATAAAACCCACTACAGCTGCTGCCAGCACAGCCACCAAACCTGGCGCCGCCCCCACCATCACCAAATCTGGCATAGACACTGAACCTGTTGCAGCCGTCCCAAGTGCAGTCACCAAACCCAGCACAGTCCTCATTAGTGTCGTGGCCAAACCCAGTGAGTCCAGTGCCGTCACCACTGCCACAAGCATTGAACCCACTGTGGCCCCCAAACCCAGCACAGCCATCAAATCCACACCAGCCTCCAAACCCAGCCAGGCTGCTGCCAGTGGAACTGCTGCCAGTGCCGATTGTAAAACAACTCCAGCTGCTGGCAGTGTGGTCGCCAAACCCTCTACACCTGTCACAAAGCCTCCCCCTACTGCCAAACCTACTCCCACGCCAGTCACTGCAGCCAATACACCACCTGTACCAGCGACCACACCAGACGGGGCTCCAGAAACCAGTGTCCTGCTGGCGGGTGCTGAGGGCATGCCGGGGCATCCTGCTGACACTGAGAAACCCACCAGCCTCGCTCTCAAACCCACAGCCACCTCAGGCCTTGCTCCCAAAGCAGCGCCAGGCAACACTCCGGCAAGACTGCCCGCTGGCAAAGGCAGCTCCAAACTCAGCGACAAAAAGACGCTGGTAAATAAGAGGGAAACCAGTAAGACGGGTGTGTCCACGCGTGGCCAGGGCACATCCCGGGACCGTAACAACCGGGAAGGCAACGGGAAAGGTCCTCTGCCCCACCCCAAGGAGAAGGAGCGGAGGCACCCGGCCCAGCACCGGGAGCACAAGGCACTGACCCGTGGCAAGGAGGACAAGAGCAAGGTAAATCGTGGCCAAAGCATTCCCACCATCGGCCGCGATCTTCCCCCTTCCCGTCACAGTCGCCCCCCCGCTCCAGGGAACCATCCAGTCCATCGAGTCTGTGGCGCTTCTTCCTCACGCTGTTTCTGCATTAGTTCCACTTGCCGGCTCGCCATGGATGTTTTGGTGCTCAGGTGCTTATCCAATTCCATTCATCTGGCCTCGAGAGCCAGTATTGTCTCCAACCTGCTCACAGGAGAGTGGCTCCTGGGGCTTCATTTTACACAGAAATTAAAGCACAAAAGTAACCATTGAACTTAAACTGGTGCTGATGAATGGCCAGATTGGGTGTAAAGGGGTCTCTTCCGCCCTGTACCATCTGATCACTTGACAGTCTGACCTCGTGGCTCGGAGCCCCAGCTGGTACTGACCCTTTAGTTACAAACTATGACCGCTCACGAGCCACTGCCTCGTCAGTAACTCAGCACCTACACAGCCGCTTGCTTTGTGATTGCAGGCTTTAGTGGAGAAAATTCCCAAGGATCGGAAAGCCCTCGGGAAAAGCCCGAAGAAGGAGGAGGTGAGGTTTGGCTTTGTCAGTCTGCAGGTGGGGTGGGGGGTGATTTCCTGCCCTCCATAAACAACAGGCTTGTGCCAGGCAACATGCTGGTACTTTCCTCACCAGCCTAGACACGGAGTGCCGGGCAAGCGTCAGTGCCAAACTGCGATATTGTTTGTGCTGCTGTTCACATATTCGCTTCCCAACAGGGAGCTGGTGCTGAGATTAGCTAAGTCAGACGCTGTGAACTAATGCTGTCTCTAAGCCAGTCTGAAGCTGCCATCATTCTTCGGTTAGTCTCGGAGAAGCCTCTCTCTCTGGAGAGTCAGGGCTGCTGCATGGATGAGCTGCTCTGCCCACGGATTTTCCAGGTTTACACCTGAGAGACTGTCCCCACCTCGCCCACTCCAGTGCCCTCCTCACTGGTCTCCCCAGCTCCACTACCCACCTCCCTCTGGCTTGGCGTCAGGCTCTGCTACTGTCTAGATGCTACCCTGTGTGAAGGGCACGATATAAATGCAAGTTGTAGTTTGCCCCTATTTTCCCCACCAGGACTTGAACCTTGCTATTGTGTATCTGTGGATCCTGAGCTCTATCATTGGGAGCAACTGACAAGGATGTGAGGATTGTTAATGAGCTCAGTGTGGGAAAGGTTTAATGTGCCTGAACTTTTGCAGAAGGAAGAGGATGTCTTTCCCTTTAACCTGGACGAGTTTGTTACTGTGGATGAAGTGGGTGAAGAGGAGGAGAGCGCACTGAGTGCAGCTGAGATGCCCACAGTTTCAGAGAGCAGCAACACCACCGCAGCACCACAGCCTGACAGCACGCAGGACAGCCAGGCAAACCCAGGTACCCCAGCCCCTGTCGGCCTCTCAGCCCCAACCTCGCCCACAGCCTCACCGACCTCTGATGAGCTGTAAGGGGTTCCTGCTGCCAAAAAACACTAAATGTGCCAGAGTATCAATAATAATAATCTTGCATTTTGATATAGCGCCTTATCACATCATCAAGTCCTCAAGGACGCTACCCCATGCGAAGGGCACTATATAAACAAATAAATAAAATGCAACTTGTTGTCTTCGAGTCATCCCAAAGCACTTCACAGAATATACTGTAAAGTGAATTGGCTATATTTTGTGGGTGAAATGTGGCAGCCAATTGCACACAGCAGTGTGAGTGAACAAATTATTATTTTTTGAAGAGATTATTACCCGCCAGAAAAGCGATCTGCCAATCAACACCTAACCGGGTTCCTACTTACTGCTAGGTAAACAGGCGTGGAGTAATGAAATTTGCCCAATATTTCGCCCTGCCCGGGAATCAAACCCAGCCGGCTCGCTTGGGAGGCGAGTGCTCCAACCACTAAGCACCAGGACTCCACAATACTACACTGGTCAGTGGTAGTCCAGAGCTGTGTTGAGTTTGGCATCTCTTTCTCTTTCAGCAGTGAAACCAGTGAGCAGAGTGGATGTGGTCCAGCTCAGACCAGTGCCTGATGTGCCTGTGAATACCAGCCTGACGGAGCAGGAGAGACCCACCAAGGCAACCACCGAGGCCAAGCTACAGCCAGTACAGGCGCTGGGCGCTGAGCGGGTAGCTTCTCTGGCAGCTGGTGACAGTGACACCCACACAGCGGCCAGCCCAGGAGCTAGCTTTACGCCGCCGGCAGCTACCGTTAATTCAGGAGGAGACTCAGCCAAACCGTCCACCACACAGAAAGGTAAGGATATCAAGGCCTAGATGAGTGCAAATTTCCTGCAACTGAATGTCGGCAAGACGGAAGCCATACTCTTTGGCTCCCGCCAACGTCTTCTCTCCTGCGAGTCTGAACTCCTCAACCTTCCTGGGCTCTCCCTCAGACTCTCCAAACCCGTACGCAATTTAGGCATCAGGTTCGATCCCCAGCTTTCCTTTCTATCCCACATCCATTCCCTGACCAGGACTGCTTACTCCACCTCCATCACACTACACCCTGAAACTCTGGAACTCAATCAATCCACCTTCCCACCTCCCTCCCCACTTTCAAACCCGCCTAAATACCCTCCCTTTTTTTTGTGCTTATGCTCACCTGACCTCTCCCTCTACCCCTGGCTTGGAGTCGGATTACCTACTATCAAGTGCTCCGTCCGGGATGCTACCCCATGTGAAGGGGCCATGCAAATGTTGTTGCTGTACAGCAGAGCTGAGGGAAAAATCACCAGCAGAGAACCAGAGAGCACGACCATTCTTTTCTCCCCTCAACACTTTCACCCCCGCCCCCACCCCTTGCCTCTCACCCCCAGCTCAGCCAGCACTGGGAAGCACTTTGAGATATCCTGCTGACATGAAAGGCATAGTGTAAATATAAGTTTGTATTGTATCATTTTCATTCCATCATGTCTGCTGCTCCTTCAAGAATAATTATTTCAATCCCATTTACCTACCCTTTCCCTGTATCCCTGTTGTATACTTTTTTTCAAGGTATTTATCTAGTTCCCTTGTGAAAGCTAACATGGATTCTCCCTCAACCACCACTCCCAGCAGTGCATTCCATTCCCTATCCTAACCACTTTCTCCTAAACTCCCATTTACATTTACTATCTATCTTAAATCAATGGCCCCTGGTTACTGACTCACCAACGGTGCTCCATTACAATTTACACATATACAGCACCTTCACTTGCGCTGCGCCCACAGCCAGCGCTGCACCCACAATGTTGGGAAAAATGAATCCCGGGTTCAAAATAGAGACTCGACAAATACCAAATATGGCGTGACACACCTTATATCGATACACAGCAGGTAATATCAATCATACAATACAAAGAAAAATAAATGATCCAATAAGCAATACTAGAATACAATGATTATATCAAAGTATAACAATTATACTTGACTATATTATATTAAAAACCCATTGGTTTCATGCAGTTAAGAAATACTCATACTACCAGTTTTAAAGGAGTCAGCAGCAGGTCTTCGTCTTCTCTTGAGCCCGAGCAGCTTAGTGATATACTCACAAACTTATGGTGTCCCTCTGATCTCTGCTCCCAGACTGACTATCTCCCTCTAACATATCCTTTTTATGCAGGTTTTGGGGATATTTTTCCCAAATTCTGCACGTCTCTCCTGACCTTTGGTCTGACCAGACAAGATAACTGATGTTTTTCTTAAACATGTCCTCCTTTCAGTTACCTCCCTTAAGTCCTGTTTGTGCAGGAGGCCCATAAGGTCGGCTTCACCCTTGATGTATCAAGGATACGTCTGTCTCCTAATCTCTACCAGCTTGCTTCTTTCTTTCATACTAATTGGTCTAGTTATGATGAACAACCTCCCGATTGTGACATGTATCCTGGACCAAGGTTACCTGGTTTTCTTCCATTTTCCCTCCTTTAGCCAATGTATGCATATTTTAATAATAATAATAATAATCCTTGCATTTGATATAGCGCTTTTCATGTCTTCTAGACGTCTCAAAGCGCTTCACAGAATATGCTGTATAACGACTGTATATTTGTGGGCAAAATACAGCAGCCAATTGCGCACAGCAGTGTCCCACAGTCGTGGATTGAAAATGACCAATTTATTATTACTTTGTTTTGGAGGGATTATTATTAGGTGTGTGGAGTAAGGAAACTTGCCCAAGGTTTCGCCCTCTGCCTGGAATTGAACCCAGGTGTCTCACATGCAAGGCGAGTGCTCTAACAATTGAGCTACAGGACTCCACCCATCTGTCTGTTACCCCAGCTGGTGTTTCTCTATTTCTTCTAATTGCTTCTTTTGAGATTCTGTCTGACTATTGTCCAGATTCATTGCTGACAACCTCCATCATGCATCATCTGAGAGTACTGTATTGGTACTTCCTTCAACATCCTGCTGATTCTCCACAATCAACAATTAAACATATGACTTAACATAGAAGAGAAAATTTTGTTTTATCATAACCCAAACATACATTTTATATTGATACCATTTTCATACATCTTATATGGATGCAGTCTTCTCCCAATAATAAGCGCTGCGCCCATAGCGAGCACGAGGCTGGCTGTGTGGTTGGGGGCTGCTGGCTTTGTGTGCGGGGGTGGAGCTGGCTGTGTGTTGGGGCTGGCTGTGTGAGGGGGGTGCTGGCTGGGTGTGTTGGGGGGGCTGGCTGTGTGTTGGGGGGGGGCTGGCTGTGTGTTGGGGGGGCTGGCTGTGTGTGTGGGGGGGGCTGGCTGTGTGATGGGGGGGGGCTGGCTGTGTGTGTGTGGGGGGGGCTGGCTGTGTGTGTGGGGGGGGGGCTGGCTGTGTGATGGGGGGGTGCTGGCTGTGTGTGTGTGGGGTGGGAGCTGGACTGGCGGTGTGTGTGGGAGGGTCTTTCTCTGCAGCATGTTTATCTTTCAGATGATGTGAAGTTGAGGCAAGATGCAGTGAGTGAGGAGGGGCCGGCAGTGAAGCGGCCCCGCACTGACCCTGGTACCCACAATGATTTCAGGATGCCGCCCTTTAAAGCTAGCACTCCAATCGGTGAGTCCCCGGCCAGGCTCGGCACTGCATCGTCACCGCTAAACACTGGGTCTGGGGCGGGGCGTGGGAGTGGGGGGGACAGCGATGAATGAGCCGCACGTCACTGGGAGAGTTACAGGGGGTTAAAAGAAAATGTTTACACTGTGTGTGTGTGATGGTTTGTCACTAGCACTGATCGTGACACCGGCTGTGACTGTGACACCGGCTGTGAGTGAAGGCACTATACACGTGTAACTTGCGATGGAGCACTGACTACTGTGCTTGAAACCAGAACATTTAAAAGGCTGTGTATTTGAGAATGAATGATAAAGAGAAAGTGAATGTGATTCGAGAGCTCCATGGGGAGCAAGCACCAGCACAGACACGATGCGGAGAGAGCAGGGAAAGGATTAGAGTCACAAGCTCCACCTGGGAGCGAGCATTTACCTCTTATACTGTCCGCAGGCGTAAACTTCATTGTTCCAAAGACCGGCTACTTCTGTCAGATTTGTTCCTTGTTCTACACAAATGAAGATACGGCCAAAGTGACTCACTGTGGGACAGTGCTCCACTACAAGAATATGGAGGTGAGAAAGTGTGACAGACAGAATGAGAGAGAGATGGCGTGCGAGAGAGACAGTGTATGAGAGAGAGAGACTGTGTGTGAGTTAGACAGAGAAGGAGATGAGTGTGAGAGAGCGTGAGAGAAGCAGTGAGACAATGAGAGCGATATTTATCCGTGTGCAGACATAGACAAACCGGGTGTGAGAGACATGCGGAGTGAGATACGCAGAGGTGCATGTGACAGTGCTGCAATACAAAATATGGAGACAAGTTGCCGCGTGCGTGTGGCGCCACCCAGAGCCGCATACCGATACTGAGATGTGTCCTGGTGATGGGCCTGACCGACCGATATCGTGGGTCTGACCGACGGACGGACTGGTATCGTGGGTCTGACTGACTAACCGACCGACCAGTATCGTGGGTCTGACTGACTGACCGACTGCCATCTTGGTTCTGTCTGACAGAAATTCATGCTGCAGCGAGCGGAGGAGTTGAGAAGACAGGAGGCTCATGTCGTGCGACAGGATAAAGTGTCCCTCTGATTGGCTCCCATTCTGGTCGCTTCAGTCGCAGAATATTTTGGGTCCAAAGTGTTTGTTTGTGTGTTTGAGAGTGTTGTTGAGGCTCCGCCATTGCTCTTCTCTTTGTTTGAGAAGCAGCTGCAGAACGGCCCACTATTGCTCTCCACACGGACTGACCACAATGAAGGAACTATGGTTTTGAGGTTAATATTGTTTGTCCTCTTTTTACATAAATTGTAACAATTTGCTTTCAGTTATTCAATTAAAAATTATGCCACAGACACTGATTCTTTCCCTCAACCCTTTGAGTTTGGGATTGTTTAAAGTGAAGCTCTTTGAGACATCTCAACAACTTGAGAAGGTGTTATATCAAATGCAGGGATTATTATTATCTCTCATCAGGGGGATGTTTCAAATGCTTCACAAGATTTGGAACTAGGAGTCGCAAGCACAGTGGCGAAGTTTGCAGATGACACCAAAGAAATGAAGGTGGTAGATTGCGATGCTGAACAAGATAGGTTACAGGAAGATTTGAACATATTTGGGAATTGGGCAAATAGTTAGCAGATGAAATTCAATGTGGAGAAATGTAAAATACTTAACATATGGACAAAAAATCCTGGAAGGGATTATTATTTGAGCAGAAGGAAAATAATATGTATGGAAAATGAAAAGGACCTGGGGGTCCTGATTGATAATAAATTGAAGCTCTCCCAACAATGCTCTGTGTCAGTGAGTAAAGCAAACCAGATGTCGGGATGTATCAAAAGATCAATAGCAAGCTGAAATAGTGGGGTAATCCTGCCACTGTATAAATCATTGGTGAAACCATACTTAAGAGTACTGTGTATAGTTCTGGTCGCCACAGTACAAAAAGGATTTTGGAGAAATCGAAAAGATAGAGGAGGGCAACCAAAATTATTGAGGGAACAGAGGGACTGGACGATGAAGAGCAACTAAGTAAATTGGGTATGTTCACGTTGGAAAAGAAGATTGAGAGGTGAGAGAACATCATTAGGTTTAGAGTACTTATGGAAAGGGACAAGGAGCAATCAAAGGTGAAGATACTCAACTGGAAGAGGACGACACTTTAGGAAGGACGTCAAGGTATTGGAGAGGGTGCAGAGATTTACCAGGATGGTACCAGGAATGAGGGACTTCAGTTATCAGGAGAGGCGAGAGAAGCTGGGATTATTCTCCTTGGAGCAGAGAAGGTTAAGAGGAGACTTAATAGAAATTGAAATTGAAATAGTTTTCAAAATTATGAGGGGATTCGATAGGGTGAACAAGGGGAAACTATTTTCACTGGCGGGTGGGTTGGTAACCCGAGGGCACCGATATAAACCAGTTCTTAAAAGAAACAGGAGGTGAGGAGAATTTTTTTTCACGCAGTGAGTTGTTCGGATCTGGAATGCATTGCCTGAAAGGGTGGTGGAAGCTGATTCGATAAGACAACGTGGGGCTTGAACCCACATCTTCTGACTCCGAGGCGAGAGCGGTTCCACTGCGCCAGGCTGACACACGGGGTATATAATTGACTGTTTGACCCATTCTATCTTGCTGGTGTTTATTTCCACACAACCTGTTTGTCACACACTCCTCACATCCCCTTTTATCATTCGCAAACCAACCTATCCATAGGTCAATGTATGGAACATGCTCCGTAGGGATACGAGGGAAGTGTTGATTGTTTCAAATTTATTTTAGGAAATAATATCTCAGTATAAATATCTAGTTTGTACATGACATGCCAGGATAGTGGAAGGCCAACTGGATGGCCCTTGGTTTTTCGTCCAGCAATTCTTATATGCCTATATTCCATTCCAATCTGCCCTCCCTCTCAAGGGGGTAAATCGAACAAAACTCCTGGCCGTGATTTATTTGCATTCTTATCTGTTTTAAATATATCAGTGAATTCAAATGAATATCCAGTTAATCTGAGAAAAATGCCATGTTGGTCACTACTGCAGGTACTCACTCAGGCCTCCCGTGTATCCATTCTGCCCCAAACAGCTCCAGGATGGAGATGCGAGGAGTCTAAGATCGATTGACTCCAGCCATTCACAAGCGGCTGGAGTTGGGTTGTCAATCAGTGAGGGGAATTGTGATTGACTGACAGCTGAGCTCTTGCAAATGGTGGAGCCCAAATGTTCACAATTGGCTGTGGGTGTCAATCACCTCAGCGCCTCTCATTGATCCTCTTCCCATCCAACGAGAACGCAAATGGGAGGGAGGGAGCACTGCTGCTCCTCTGCTGGGAGGGAGAGTACCGGACTGTGTTTTGCAGCCAAATAAAAGTAAATCTATTTTATTGAATTCTGTGAGAGTATTTTAACTTCCAACTGGTTCGTTAACATTGCTTCAAGTGAAACAACGGTGACGCTCCTGCTGGGTGGGAATGGTATTTTGGTTAACCTCGGACGCCTCTTAAGTCGGACAAAACAGCCGCCCAATGTGTCCGGCTTAACAGGCTTCCACTGTACTTGTCTAGTTTTGGGTAAGATCCTGGTAAATCTCTACTGCCTGTTGTTGTCTCTCTGGGGGTGAGGCAGAGACCAGGGCCAGTCAGTGCCAACAGCTGAGGAGTCACAGTGCCGAGCAGAGGTTTCTGAAAGGTGTTTATTATAAATATTCAGCTCCAAACAAACACGAATCCTAAACTTCACATCAATTTATAAACACGCCAAGACACAACCTAAATTCTCTACCATAAACATTATTAAAGTACAAAAATAAAACTCACGCAAAATATAAAATAATCTTCAGACAGCCTGGCTCACAGCTGGCTTCACCAGCCTGCACACACCCGAGCCCCCCAACCCCCCCACTCGGAACACTAATCAAACTTATGCACACACTTCCTGACTCACCAATCTCACTCACGCACACTCACATACCAATCATACGCACTCCCTGACACCGATGACATACACAGACACACTCACTGACATGCTCACACACACACAGACGCTCACTATTACACCAATCACACTCACTGAACACAATCACACATTAATGCTCACACACTCACATGCACTGACACGCTCACACACTGACATGCTTACTATTACACTGATCAGACACTGCGGTGATCACACTAATGCTCACACATGCGCTCACACTGACAAGCTCACACACTTGCTGATACGCTCACACATTGACACGCTCACATACTCACTGACATGCTCAAATACCTGATGACACTCACTGACATGCTCACACACACTATTACACCAGTCACACTCACTGATACGATCACACACTCGCATGCTCACACACTGACACACTCACACAAACTCACTGATACGTTCTGCTCACACACACTCAGACACGCTCACACATACACTCACACGCTAATGGGGCAGAAGCTGCTTTCACTCCCAGGCCACCTTCCTGCCCAGGACACGGTTAGTGACTTTCTGCAGAAACAAAGTGACAGAGAGCGAGCGAGTCAGACAGAACTGCGGACAGAACCCAACACCAACCTGCAACCAACACCCGCCCCCTCTACCTCATTCACTATTTATCTGAACTCTTACATCGCTCATACTATCCCTCCACCATCACCTCACTCCCCACTCGCTGTGTGTAACTCCCTCAGCCTGATCCCCTCACTCCCCACTCGCTGTGTGTAACTCCCTCAGTCTGATCCCCTCACTCCCCACTCGCTGTGTGTAACTCCCTCAGCCTGATCCCCTCACTCCCCACTCGCTGTGTGTAACTCCCTCAGCCTGACCCCCTCGCACTCCTCAATCGCTCTCTGTCCCTCAGGCAGACCTGTCACCTAACTCCCACTCACTGTGTGTAATTCCCTCAGTCTGATCCCCTCACTCCCCACTCGCTGTGTGTAACTCCCTCAGCCTGACCCCCTCGCACTCCTCAATCGCTCTCTGTCCCTCAGGCTGACCTGTCACCTCACTCCCACTCACTGTGTGTAAGGCCCTCAGTCTGACAGTTCTAGACTCACTGACCTTCTTATAAAGTTGAGCTTTCAATCGGTTGCTGCGATTTTCAGCTTTTCGCTTCTCCTCCTCTCGCCGCCTTGTGACCTCAGACAACTGGTTATACATTCTGCAAACAGTAGCCAGCGTGAGAACAGCACAATGGGGGGGGGCACAGACGGGTGGGGGCGAGGGGGGGTTGGGGGGGGTGGACTCACCGCTTTGATCTCAGCACCATTTCCTTCCTCGTGATTTTTTTCTTCCAGAAAATTGTATTCTCTGAATGTGAAAATAGAAGAGTTACTGGCGTCCAGCAGCTCCGAGCAGCTCCACACACAGCGCAACACACAAACAAACATGACCTGGATCCTGGTGATTGTGGCCAACAAAAGCAAACACACAGCAAACAGCATTCAGTGGGGGTAGGGTGGGGAGTGTGTTTGTCATTCCTGTTTGGCCATTTGGGAGTGAGGCGGGGGTTGGAGGCAGGCCTGGGGGTGACAGCACCTGTGAGAGGCCGGGTTGAGGGCCACTGGGGGGTGGAGGCGGTGCTGGGGGTGACAGTACCTGTGAGAGGCCGGGATGGAGGGCTGCAGTGGGCTAGTGGGGGGTTGAAGAGCCACAGTCTCTCGCTCTGTAGCTCGCTCTGCAGTCTGCGCTCTTCAGCAAACAACTCCAGCCGTCTAACCCGCTCCCGTGAGTGAGATATAAAGTCAGGGCGGTTCATAGCCAGAGCCTCCTATGTCACAGAGAGAGAGTGAGAGTATGTGAGTGAGAGAGCGTGTGAGAGCCTGTGACAAAGAGGGAGCATGTGGGAGAGCAAATGTGAGAGAGATCACGTGAGAAAGCATGTAAGAGCATATGAGCGAGAGATTGTGTGAGAGAGAGTGTGTGAGACAGACATAGTGTATGAGTGTGTGAGATAAGAGAGGGAGAGTGCGTGATCGAAAGCGCATGTGAGAGCGTGTGCGAAAGATTTAGAGAGAGATAGTGCGTGAGAGAAAGAGACTGAGCAAGGGTGAGACAGATAGTCAGAGCGCATGAGAGTATGTGAGAGAGTGGGAGAGAGAGAGAGATGTGGGTGTGTGTGTGTGGGAGGGGGGCTTACCTGTAATGTGAGAGGTATGAGGGTTGTTGGTGCTGTGTAAGGAGAGGGGAGGGGGTGGCAGCGCACCCCCACCCCCGCCTGTAGCTGCCGCTCTCTCAGCGGGGCCCGGTACCGGGAGTCCAGGGCCGGCACACGAACACACACCGGAAAATTCTCCTTCCGACTCTCCCACTGCAGCTCCTCGGCCGGCACAAACCAGGTCACAGCTGTGAGCAGAGTGGGGAGGGGTCAGTGATGGGGGGCGGGGGGGGGGTCAGTGATGGGGGGGGGGGGGGGGGTTAGTGACGGGGGCGGGGGGGGTAGTGATGGGGGGGTCAATGATTGTGATCAGTGATGGGGGGGGGTCAGTGATGTGGGGGCTCAGTGACGGGTGGGGGCTCAGTGACGGGTGGGGGGGTCAGTAACGGGGCGGGTGTCTGACCTGGGGGCACGGTCTTGCGATGTCTCTGGGCCCTGGTGCCGGTGTGGAGGGGGTCTTGGCGCCCGGTGCTGGTGGTGGGGGAGGGGAAGGTTGTGCCCACATCGCGGGTGTGTCGCTTGGTCGCACTTGGGACGATCTCCACATCACCTGTGACACAGAGAGTACGAGGCTGGAGGAGAGGGGAGACATAGAGAGGACTCCAGGGCATCCTGACACTACCCCTGACACTAACTCCCGAAACTGCCCCCCACACTGATCCCCCCCAACATTGACCCACACACACTGCCCCCCCCCCCACACACACTGGCCAACACACTGACTCCCCACACTGATCCCCCCCCACTGCCAGCCCACACTGACCCCCGCACACTGCCCCTCACACTGCCCGTCCACACTGACCTTCACACACTGCCCCCCACTGACCCAGACGCTAACCCCCCACCTCCCCACACTGTCCCCACACACTGACCCTCAGACACTGCCCCCCACTGACCCAGACGCTAACCCCCCACCTCCCCACACTGTCCCCACACACTGACCCTCACACACTGCCCCTCACACTGCCCGCCCACACTGACCCTCACACACTGCCCCCCACACACTGACCTCCCCACACTGACCCAGACGCTAACCCCCCAACCCCCACACTGTCCCCACACACTGATCTCCCCACACTGACCCAGACGCTAACCCCCCACTCCCCACACTGCCACCCCCATACGCTGACCAGACACCTACGTGCACACAGACACAGACCTGCCTGTACTCCCTTGTGAAGGAGCTTTTTGTTGCGAAGCTGACAAGATGGCCCTCGCCAGGAGCAGCTCTCCCCACTCACAGCATCAGTCATTACTGTTCTGGGGGAGCGCTGGGTGGGGAGAGAGAGAGAGAGAGTGTGTGAGAGACAGAGAGGGTGCCAGAGAGAGTATGTGCGAGAGAGTGTGTGAGACGGAGAAAGTGTGTGCGCGCGTGTATGTGAGCGACAATGTGTCAGAACGAGTGTCAGAACGAGAGAGACAGTGTAAGAGCGAGCGAAAGAGAGTGTGAGTGTGAGAATGAGCGTGTCAGAGTGTGAGTGAGTGTGTGAGATTCTGTGTGAATGAGAGACAATGTGAGAAAGTGTGTGGGTGTGCGCAAATGTGTGAGTGAGATAAGTTTGTGAAAGTGTTTGTGAGATGCTTGTGAGAGAGGGGGAGACATTGTGTGTAATAGAAAGGGGGAGACATTGTGTGTGTGAGAGAGGAACAGGCATTGTGTGAGAGAGGGAGAGAGTGTGAGAGAGACGGGGAGAACGTGGGTGACATTGTGTGAGAAACAGAGTGTGTGAGACATTGTGTGAGAGCAGGAATGGCACTAACCTGTGTGTGATGATGATGAGCTGTATGCCGTCCTTGCTGGGTGCCCTCCCTCTGCCTGCGCACAGCCCCGTATAGGCGAACGAGTGGCGCTGCCTCCACTCTGGCCAGTCCGAAGGCCCGTACCAACCGGGCTGTGTCGATGGTGGAGAGGTCACTGGGGGCCGGGGTCAGGGTGCTGAGGCTGGTGTCCGTATCGGTGCCGGGGGTGGGGAGCTGGCGTTCTCGGCTCAGGATCTTTCTGATCCGCTCGGTGCAGATTTCCTCCGTGCCTGAGTCACTGCACAGTTCCCCCTCAGAGAGCAAGGATTGCCGGTCGGGAACGCCCTGGGAGAGCAGAGAATGCCGGACAGGATCACGGAGCAGGTCAGCCAGCCTCTCCAGCCGTTCCAACAGGGACAGCTCACTGGCGGTGTCGGACCCTGTCCGCCGGGTTTGCCGCTGCTTAAACCTCTGCCACAGCTCATTCAGGCTGCCGCCGGGCTGGGTGGCTTGGGCCAGGACCCTCGTTCTTTTCGGAGCCTCGCCACCGCTCGTCCAGATGCCGGGGTCCGTCTCCGGGGGTCCACAGAAGCCACCGGCACTGCTGCCCCTGGTCATGTTCTGCGGGCTAGGGGAGTGCAGGCCCCGGCCCACCTGTGATCTTACTAACAAGGTGGGGGGCTGCCGGCCACTCATACCCGTGGTGACAGAGCTATGCCGGTGACGGAGGTCCTCGCATTCCACACCTGTCGGAGAAACAGTCAGAACAGACAGAGCAAAACAGACGGCACCGACAGCACACGACTGAGCACTGAAGCTCAGGGTCCAGGCTGACACTCCAGTGCAGTGCTGGGGAGAGAGAGCAATGCATTGTCAAGAGACACCGTCCTTCAGGTTAGACTTTAAACAGAGTTCCTGTCTGTGCACTGCTCACGTGGACGTTAAACATCCCAAGGTGCTAATTTCTTACAGTTGAATGTGAACAAGACTGAGGTCCTCCTGATTGGCTCACACCAGCGCCTCAGCACCTCAGGCTCTGACAGCATCAACCTCCGTGGTTGCACACTTCAACTCACCGCCAGTCAGGAACCTCGGTGTCTTGTTCGCCCTCAACTGTCTTTTCTCCCTCACATCCAAGCCATGACCCGCTCTGCATTCCCTCACCTCCATAACATCGCCCGACTCCGCCACTGAAACTCAGGCCACTGAAACTCTTGTTCATGCCTTCATCACCTCCAGGCTTCACTATGCAAACCCCCTGCTTGTCGGCCTTCCCAACTCCTCTCTCCATAGGCTGCAGATAATCCAGAACTCTGCAGCCCGTGTCCTCTCCCGCACCAAACTCCGTAATCCATCTCCCCCACTCTCACCCGACTCCATTGGCTCCCTATCCTTCAGAGGATCCAGTTCAAGATCCTGGTCCTCACCTACAAAGCCCTCTATGGCCTCGCCCCACCCTACCTCTGCGACCTTCTAACCCCCTACCAACCCGCCCGCTCCCTCCGCTCAGCCGGCTCTGGCCTGCTCCACATCCCCTGACCCACCCGCCCCACTATTGGTGAGAGAGCCTTCAGCCACTCTGCCCCCAACCACTAGAATTGCATCCCCCATCGACTAACAACCAGGTTCGTACATACTGCTCAGTAAACAGAGGCATGTGGAGTAAGGAAACGTGCCTAACGTTTCGCCCTGCCCGGGAATAGAACCCAGGTCTCTCACTTATGAGGCGAGTGCTCTAACCACTGAGCTACAGGACTATTGGGAAAAGAAAAGGGAGTTTCTCTTTACCTGGCCAACAATCCCCCAGATAATAATGATAAATTGCATGTTAACTTCACAGCTGTTGGTGGGACATCACTCTGCACAATTTGGCTGCTGCGTTCCCCTACAACACACACATGGACCCACAGCGGGGGGGGGGGGGGGAGGAGGAGGGGAAAGGGGGAGTCACATACTGACCATGCTCCCGGGAGCTGTCGGTGCTGGTCTCCGAGCTCGGAGGAGACGATGTGCTGCGGCACTCCATATATGGGACGTAGAAAACCTCGGCACTGCCTGCTGGTCGATACGGCAAAATCACTGGTGGCTCTGTCAGTACAAACTAAACCATCAGTGCGGAAAAACAGTTACGCTCTCCACCCACACACACACTGGCAATCTCACCCACGTCCCCACCCCCCCCCCACCCCACACACACACACACACAGGCAATCGCCCGCCTCCCCTCTCACACACTCAGGCAATCTCCCCTCCCCCACAAACACACACTCTGGCATTTCCCTGCCTCCTCTCTCACACACACACAGGCAATACCCACCCCCCAGCCCCAAAATATACACACACACAAAAAAACTCACACACACCTCCTGTTCCACGTTGGCCAAGCAACAGGTCACTGAGATGGAATTTAGCGACACCCCCTCCTCACCAGACACAGCATTGTGACAATGGGGGTTGGGGGGGAATTGTGATGTTAAAATCTATTGTTCTATATATAACTCCCCCCCAACTCCTGGATTAGGTTCCAGTCTGTCACGCCCCTGTTGTCATGGCCGCAAGCCCCCAACCTGCCCCTCCTAACACCATCGGCGGAGTTCTCCCGTCCTGCCCCCTCTCTGGCTCTCCATCCTCCATCCCACCCCCTACCCCTCCTAGGTACCAGCAAGTATTGCAAATGTGCTTTCAGATGCAACCCCCACCCCCCCACTCCGCTGACACGAAGGCACTGAATAAATATAGCAACTTGCACTTATAGAGCGCTTTTCACACCGGATAACATCTCAGAACGCTTGAACTGTATTTTACAGGGTGTCCCCAAAATCCTGTTACCCCGATGTTTGACCAACGGGAACATGTGGAAGAATGTAGGTAATTGTATTTAGAAGTATTTAGCTGTATACAGTACAAGTGTTTAACTGTATTTAGACGTCCAGATGACCAGTGTGTGTGAGCGCCATCATTCTCATGGCAGATAATGACCCGTCGCCATGTTCGGTGCCACATCTTCCATAACATGATGGGAGGAGGCGAAATGCATCTCTGACAGCCTGTTTCCGTCGTCTCCTCTCTGTTGTGCAAGGTGGGGTAACAGGACTTTGTGGACACCCTGCATAACCACCCCCACCCACCCCCCACCGTGATGTCAGGTGTTGCGGCTATTCACCCACCTCTGCTCCTGGTGTGTGCCCCGGGGCTGTGTGCGGTGCTGGCTCTGCTGCTCCTGCGCTGGGCTGGGTCACAACTGCTCTTTGCCGGCACCGTCAGGCCTGTCTGTGTTGCGGCGTGTACCCTGGCCCCCACCTCAGTAGGTTGCTGTGTGCCAGGGCCCCCCAGGGGGAGGTGCAGCTCAACTGGCAATGCTGGGTAGAAGCCAGGCGTGGGCATGGGGAGTGGGGGGTAGGGTGGGCCATGAGCCAGTGAGGCGGCAGCACCGGGCGGAGACAGTGCTCGGGGAGGGGCTCCCCCGTCCTCGCGGGTGAGCTGCAGTTTGCCTGGAGGCAACATGGTTTGGCTGAGCGGGGCCAAGCGCCGGGGGGAAATGGTCAGCTGGACATGGGAGCGTGCTGGGTGTGCCGAGGGGGAGGAACTGGCACCGTTTGCCGTGGCCTTGGGGACGGCCAGCGGTGTCTGCTCCCGCTCATCCCGGCCGGGATCCGCTACGGAAAACGGCACAAACACTGGTGCAACTGGAAAGCCACGGCACCCTGGGCCAGTCACAGTGCCAACCCCACTGCCAGCCCGGGTGCCAGTCACTGGGCCAAACTCACTGCCAAGCCGTGTGCCAGGCTTAGGGCTAACCTCACTGCCAAGCTGTGTGCCAGTCACAGAGCCAACCCTGGTGCCAGTGGCAGTTGTATTGCCAACCCCACTGCCAGCCCATGTGCCAGTCACAGGACCAACCTCACTGCGAAGCCGAGTGCCAGCCACAGTGCCAACCCTGTTGCCAGTGCCAGTTGTCTTGCCAACCCCACTGCCAGCCTGTGTGTCAGTCACAGTGCTAGCCCGTGTGCCAGTCACAGTGCCAACCCCACTGCCAAGCCGTGTGCCAGTCATAGTGCCAACTCTGATGCCATTGCCAGTTGTGTTGCCAGCCACAAACTCGGAGTCAGTGCCCTGTGTGAGGGGTTGGGCTGGGGCTCCCTCGTGGGGGATGGATGGAGTGAGCCGTTTGCGGGAGGAGAAGGTGATAGAAACTATGGGGGTCTGTGGCTCTGGTGGAGGGTTGGGTCCAGCACCCGCTGGTGGGGCTGGTTTCAGTGTTGGCGCTGGGAGCCTGCAGGCAGTGAGGGCAGAGTCCGGGGAGCAAACATCTGAGAGACTCCCAGGCTCTGGGTCACAGGTCAACCAGCGGCCCTGAGAGAGAGGGGGAGAGAGAGACAATGAGTGAGTGATAGAGAGAGAGAGAGAGTGTGACAGAAACAGCGCAAGAGATAGAGAGCGAGCGTGATAGAGAGAGAGTGTGACAGAGTGAGAGCATGACAGAGTGACAGAGTAAGAGCGCGTGAGAGAGAGTATACAACAGAGACCGTGTGACAGAGTGAGAGAGAGCGTGACAGAGTGAGAGAGCGTGTGACAGAGTGAGAGAACATGTGACAAAGTGAGAGAACATGTGACAAAGTGAGAGAACATGTGACAAAGTGAGAGAACATGTGACAAAGTGAGAGAACGTGTGACAAAGTGAGAGAGCATGTGACAGAGTGAATGAGCGCGAGGCAGCATGAAAGAGCGTATGACAGAGTGAGGGAGAGGGTGACACATTGAGAGAGAGTGACAGAGAGCGTGGGGCAGTGTGAGACCTTGGAGCCGGTGATATTGCGGGACATACGGAGTAACTCCGCTTTGATCTCATCGATCTTCCTGCGATCCTCGTCACTCAGCACTGACAGCGGCTCCCGGCTCCGCTCCGCCCACATCGCCTCGGCAATTCCTATAAACACAGCAGTCTGTCAGTACACACTCCCTCTACACTATCCGTCAGTACACATTCCCAGCTCATGGTTAGAGATAGGGTTAACACTCCCTCTACAATGTCCGTCCACACTCCCGGGTCAGGGACACCAAGGTTAGAGCACAGGTAAAGAATCATAGAATCTTACAGCACAGAAGGAGGCCATTCGGCCCATCATGCCTGTGCCGTTCTTTGAAAGAGCTACCAATTAGTCCCACTCTCCTGCTCTTACCCCAGAGCACTGCAATTCTTTTTCCTTTCAAGTAAATATATAATTCCCTTTTAAAGTTATTATTGTATCTGCTTCCAACACCCTTTCAGGCAGTGCATTCCAGATCGTAACAACTCTCTGGATAAAAAAAAATTCTCCTAGTCTCCCTCTGGTTCTATTACCAATTATCTTAAATCTGTGTCCTCTGGTTATCGACCAACCCGTCAAAAAAAACACCAACACCTCTATTAAATCTCCTCTCAACCTTTTCTGCTCCAAGGAGAATAATCCCAGCTTCTCTAGTCTTTACACATTCTGGTAAATCATTCTGGTAAATCTCCTTTGCACCCTCTCCTAGCCCTTGACATAGGAGGTTAATGGGGGTGGGAGGTTAGCGGGGGGTGAGGTTAGCGGGGCGGGAGGGACTGAGGTTAACGGGGGGGGTTGAGGTTAGCGGGGGTGGGGGTTGAGGTTAGCGGGGGGTTGAGGTTAGCAGAGGGGGAGGGGTTGAGGTTAGCAGAGGTGGGGGGGAGTTGAGGTTAGTGGAGGGGGGGTTGAGGATAGCTGGGGGCTTGTGGTTAGCGGGGGGGTGGTCAGGTTAGCGGGGGGGTTGGAAGGCTCTGCTCTGTACCTGTGTGCCCCCTCTCAGCCGCACTGGCTGCCAGCACCAGGTGGCTGGCTCTCTGCGCTGGTCGCTCCTCCTGAAGGAGCTTGGCCACCCTCGCTGACAAGGAGTCCGCCTGACTCCCCCTCTCGCTGTCTTCGGTGGCCTGGCTCTGGGGTGGGCTGTGGACATTCTGGCCCTGGGGAGGGCTGTGGAGAGGCTGGTTTTGGAGGGGGCTGTGGACAGGCTGGTTTTGGAGGGGTATGTGGGCAGGCTGGCCCTGGAGGAGGGGGTGTGGCTGGGCTGTGGTCCCGCCGCTGCAACCCTCGGGTTCTGCTCGCCCCACACTCCTCAGAGAGGCTGCTGTATGGGTTCTCTGTGGAGAGAGAGCCTGGCCCCTGGCGTTCAGGGATGGCCCCTGTGCCGACCCTGGTGCGCGGAGTGTCCCAGCATCCATGTCCTGCCGGCTCCCACCGCCCCCCACCAGCGATAGGGAGGGCGGCCCCTCCCCCACTCCCCCCAGCAGCTTGCGGATCTCACTCAGTGTGTGTGAGCCCACAAAGGAGTCCTCAGCCCCGGGGTGCTGGGAGCCCGGGGCCCCTGGGCTACCCTGATGTTTCTGCTCCAGCTCCACCATCAGACTCTCCATCTGAACCAGGCCGGGGATGGCCATGTCAGCTGAGGGGGGCGAGGGTTTGGGGTGCAGGGACCCCGCAGGGGGAGATGGCACAGGGCTGTATCCCTGGTCCTCGGAGTTCCGACCGATGGACATGCTGTGTGTCAGGGTGTCAGAGTGGAAGCTGCATCTGGAGCCGGTGTCCAGAGGAGACTCGCCTGCAGGACAGAGAGACAGAGTGATTCAGTGTCTGACACACACGGAAACCCGTCACCGTGATCAGCCAGTGTCTGGCACACACCGAAGTCCATCACAGTGCTTTAGACTCTCGAATCCAGACTGAAAGTTCCACATGTGTACGCCTCCTACACATGGAAATATCCCCGTGACTGGACCAGAATGAACACTCTCTCGTCTCGCTGGAGGGACGCCTCCTGTTTATCTAATTCCAAAGAATTTCAAGCGCACGTAAGCGAAAGCCATAGCTTGGAGATCCCAAAGTGTGCGTTGGGGTAACAGCTGGAGTCTAACCAGCTAAACCCATTTAGCTTGCCATTGATAGTGCTGTCTAACAAGCTTTCCCATTACTTGTCCAACTGGGACCATCCTACCCGTTAAGGCTTTGGCTTGCATGGTTAACAGGAGCTAAGTGGGAGGATTCCCTGCCCCAGTGACTGGTCTGCCCTTCTAAATCCTGCCGATGAGCCAGGCTGGGCTGTGCTGTCTCAACAGTGCCCTGGAATACTGAGGCCCTCCTGGTTCAGAATTCGACTAGAGATTCCCTGTTGATTCTGACATTCCATTGCCAGGAACGTCACCTTGTACCCAGTTCAGCTGCAAGGAGATCCTCTTTACCCACTCCCCTGGAGGAGAGCTGCTATTTGGTTATTTGTCATCTCACAAGCAAGAGGAGGCCATTCAGCCAATCCCACCACTGATCAGATCAATTACATCTTTCACATCCCAATTTCCCACCCTGCAGACAAGGCAGGACAGTCAGACTCACACAGACACCAGGGAATCTTACCTTCACTTCCCAGTAATTTCTTGGTCACTGTGTCCAAATCTTTGGAGATTCCCAGCCCCCAAGGGTCCGAAAGCACTGGAGGCGGGGGGATTTCAGTTGTCAGGATGCTGGTCGGAGACTGATGAATGCCGAGATTCCAAAGGTAAAACTAAAGCAGGACAACCAGAAATATTATAAGGAACCCAGGGAATTACAACAGACACAACAACAAATTACACTTTTATAGCACCATTCATGTTGGAAAGACGTCCCAGATGGAAAGACGTTACAACATAATTTAGCCAACTGCTCCCCGAATAAATCCTTCATCCAGTTCCCTCTGCCCTTATCAGCCCAGACTAATACTGTCATAACCCAGACTAACACAGTCCCAGACCAGCCCAGACTAACACTGTCGTAATCCAGACTAACACGTTCCCAGACCAGCCCAGACTATCACTCTCCCAGCCCAGACTAACACTGTCCCAGCCCAGACTATCACTCTCCCAGCCCAGACGAACACTGTCCCATACGGAGAGGGTTGGAGGGGTACCTACCGGGATGCGTTGCTCGATGTCAGTGGTGGGGAGCGGGGGGGTGAGGAGAGGTGCGGGGTCGCCCCAGTGCGGTGAGTAGTTATCCACCTCCAAGCTGGTTAGTGACTGGGCCGAGGCTCGTCCAGTAGTGCTGCTCACTGTGGGCTCGTCTGCCCGGCTGGTGTCCAGGGATGTCACGCCCGGCTCTGTGCTGGGGAGCGGAGTGTCCTCACCACGGTGTTGTCTGCCAGTGACGTGCTCCGGGAGACTCTGACTCCTGCTCCGCCATGCAAGAGAGGTGCCGGGATCCAGAACACCGAGCCCAGGGAGAGAGGTGCCGGATTCAGGAAGGCCGAGCCCGAGGAGTGAGGTGCCGGGATCAGGAACGCTGAGCCCGAGGAGTGAGGTGCCAGGATCAGGAACGCTGAGCCCGAGGAGTGAGGTGCCAGGATCAGGAACGCTGAGCCCGAGGAGTGAGGTGCCAGGATCAGGAACACTGAGCCCGAGGAGTGAGGTGCCGGGATCAGGAACGCCGAGCGCGAGGAATGAGGTGCCGGGTTCAGGAACGCTGAGACTGAGCCCGGGGAGAGAGGTACCGGGATCAGAAACGGCGAAGACGGACAGAGAGGAGCTGGGATCAGGAACACCGAGCCCGGACGGGCAAGCAGAGAAATCAAACCGGGAGCCCGGGGAGTTGCTGGCCCCTCCCCCCGCATTGCCACTGATGTTGAGCTGCGGAGCCCGGGCGGGTGGGGACGGGGCCGCTCCCAGTGACCCACCCCCAGACCTTCTGTGCCAGTGCTCGGCCACAGGTTCCCCACCACCCTGGGACAGGATGTGATTGAGGGAATGAGCAATGGCACTGTAGGCCCGGCGCCGGGGAGACTCTCCTCGCAGCCCCCGCAGCACCAGGCTGTCAAAGCTGGGTCGCCCCATGCCCCACTGCCCAGCACAGACCCCCACCCTCTCTGTATAGCCCAGGCTGGATCCCTGCCGCCCCGGCTCAGCTTGGTCTGGGGACAGCGAGAGCTGGGGCGAAGGCTCGGGAGAGACGACCGCTCCCTTCGCCAGGTGCTCGACGGTTTGATTCAGCATTCCCGTCCTGGTGATGGGCAGGAATGTGCTGGGAGTGGACTGGCAGAGAGGCCCGGGGAGGGTGGCCGGGAGCCAGGAATGGCCAAGCCTCTCCCCTCCACCCCGCATCTCGCCTGTGATGCCGCCCCGGCTAGTGTAGGCATTTGGAACGAATAGAGGCGACGCTCCTGGACTCTGGTCGTGGCTGGATGCTCCCAGTTCTTGCCAGTCGCTGGCTGCCTGCAGAACATTGCCAAGCGCTGAGCCCAGCTCTGCTCTGAGCTCGGGCTGTGCTGGGAACTGTGCCGAGGTGCCGGGCTGAGCTGAGGGGCCAGACTCTGCTAGGGGGCCGCGCTGTGGCACGCCAGCTTCACTCGCCACTCTCCTGTCGGAACAGCCAAGCAGTTCCACAAAGCTGGTCTCGTCACCCCCCTCGGAGACTGAGCTGGAGGCAGGTCTGGGGGCACGGCTGAAGCTGTGGGAGGGGCTGTGAGAGCGGCTTGGGTTGGGGGCGGGGCTGACGGATGGGCTGGAGCTGAAGGGTGGGATGGGGGCAATGCTGGAGCTGGGGGATGGGATGGGGGATGGGATGGGGGTGGAGGCGGGCCTGGAGCTGGGCGATGGGATGGGGGCGGGGGCGGGGCTGGAGCTGGGGGTTGGGATGGGGGTGGAGGCGGGCTGGAGCTGCGGAATGGGATGGGGGCGGAGGTAGGGCTGGAGCTGGTGGATAGATTGGAGGCAGGGCTGGCGAGGGGGAAGGAATGCTGGGAGAGGGAGCAGAGACTGGCTTCTCCGGTGAGGGCCGTGCTCACCCCCAGCGAGCGCTCACGCAGACGGCCTCTCACAAAGTCACACGACAGCTCAGAAACGGCTGTGTACACAGAGTCTCCCGACTGGAAGGCTTGAGAATATCCCTTACACAGCGTTGCCGAGAGGTCAGGAGCTGCCCTGTAAACACAAACACACAGTCAGCCCAGACACTGACAGTTCGCCACAGCACCACTTAGACACACAGTGACACTCCCTCTACAATGTCCATCCGCACTCCCGGGTCAGTGACAGCACAAGTTAGAGAGGGAAAGGGTCCCTCTACATCGTCCACACTCCCAGGTCAGCCACAGCCCGGGTTACAGATAGGTTGTGAGGTATAAAGTATAAAGGAGAGACAGGGAGACTGTTTGTTTCCTGTGACTTACCTCAGAGAGAGGAAGCTTAGCGGTGTGCACTCGTACCCAGTTTCGGACAGGACACCGCGCTCTCGATCACGGTCTACGGTGGGACACGAGGCAAGAAGTGGAAGAGCTGGTGTCAGACGACTGTCCTGCAGCTCTGCCGGGGAGGGAGGGAGCGAGAGAGAGAGTAAGTGAGCCGTGGGCAAGGACCACACACTCGGCAACAGGAGAGCGCCACACCTCACACAACATGACAGCATAATAATAATAATACTTGCATTTGATACAGAGCTTCATCACATTGTAAGGACATTTCAAAGTGCTTCGCAGGATTTACTTGAATTGTGGTGACTTGTGTATTTGTAGGCAAATGGGGCAGCCGACTGCACACACCAATGGCCCACAGGCAACCATGAAGTGAGTGACCAATTCTATTTTGGGAATTGTTAGCTAGGACACCGGGAGACAAACTCCCTTCTCTTTTCAAATAGTGCCATGGGATCTTTAACGTCCAGCTGAATAGGCAGATGGGACCTCACTTTAACATCTCATCCGAAGGACGGCACCTCCGGCAATGCAACACCCCCAGCGCTGCACTGCAGTGTCCACTACGTTCTGACTCAGAGTTGAGAGTGCTACCACTGAGGCGCATAGTTCAACCCAAACCATACACAGCCCAGCACACGGCTGTATGTACAATTTGTCCTCAAAATCTTGTTAGACCCTGTCATAAAATAGTGAAGTAAGACGACGGAGGAGCTGAAACAAGCTGTCGGAGATGTATTTCACCTCCTCATTCCAACCATGTTACAAAAGATGTGGCACCAAACATGGCGATGAATGAGTATCTGCCACGAAAATTATGCTGTTCATTCACAAGGATCCTCTGGACGTCAAAATACAGTTAAACACTTGTACTGAATACAGTGAAGTACTTCTAAATACAATTATCATCATTCTTCCACGTTTCAGTTGTTGGGTCAAATATGGGAGTAACAGGACTTTGTAGACAGCCCCACCCCCCGCCGGGGTCATGCCTTCACTCACCGATCAGAGCCGTCGGCCGGGCCTGGGTCTCTGTCACCAGCGACGCTTCAGTAACGCTAATCATTCCCTCTTCAAGGGTGGGCCACTCACTAGCCGGCTGCTCCCTCCCAGCACCGGTCCGCAGTACAGCCACCCGCCCAGCATCACCGCCCGCCTGCAGCTGGCTCCAGGCCTCCATGTCCTGCAAATAATAATCCTTGCATTTAATATAATGCCTTATCACTTCATTCAGACATCTGAAAGCGCTTCACAGAATTTACTGTAAAGTGGATTGATTGTATATTTTCTGGGCGAAACCCGGCAACCAATTGCACACAGCAGTGTCCCACAAACAGCTGTGGATTGAGTGACAAAAATTTTTTTTTTAGGGATTATTACCCCTGGAAAGCGATCTGCCAATCGACTAACAACCGAGTTCTTATTTAAACGGTAAAAAGACACCTATGGAGAAAGGAAACTTGCCTAAGGTTTTGCCCCGCCCTGGAATTGAACCCATCCTCTCACTTGTCAGGCGAGTGTACTAACTAATACGTTATGGTAGAACACACAGCTTGAAGAGCAGGCAGATACCAAGCCGTTGCCCACCCACCCCAGCCATGCCCCAGACCCGTCCCCTCCCGGCACAGTGTGTGCTGCAGAGACAGTACCTGTGTGGCTGTGTGGACAATGGCCTCCCCCAAGGAGAAGCCACTCAGACTGGAGCCGAGTGTGCCACTACCAGGGCTGCTGTTCCCGCTGCTCCGCTCCTCCCCTCGGCACGGCGGCGTGGTCGCAATCGCCTGCAAAACACCAGCAGTTACACACTACCCATTACCCACACACCGGCCATCACACACACACACTCACAACAAAAAGATTCCATTTACAGAGCGCCTTTCACGTTGGGAGGACGTCCCAAGGCGCTGGACAGTTGGGTCAGGACCCGAGAAGGGGGGAAATGGTGAGGGGAGGGAAGGGCGGGAGCGAGGAGGGAAATGGTCGAGGGGAGGGAAGGGAGGGGGCGAGGAGGGGGTAGAGAGTCGAGAGGGGAGCTGAAGGCACGGTCGAAGAGAAAGGTCTTAAGACCGGCCTTGAAGGAGGAAAGGGAGGAAGTGGCGAAGGCACTGGGGGATGCAATTCCAGAGCCTCGGGGCTGAGAGGCTGAAGGCCTGACCACCGATGGTAGGGCGGTTGGAGCGGGGGATGTGGAGCAGACCGGAGCCAGAGGAACGGAGGGTACGGGCAGGTAGGTAGGGGGATAGTAGGTCGGAGAGGTAGGAGGGAGCGAGGCCGTGAATGGCCTTGTAGGTGAGGATGAGGATCTTGAATTCGATCCTCTGGGGATGGGGAGCCAGTGGAGGCGAGCGAGGGTGGGAGTGATGTGGTCGCGGTGTCTGGTGCGGGACAGTACACGAGCTGCAGAGGTCTGAATGACCTGCAGTGTGGAGGGAGGTGGCGGGAAGGCCGGCGAGGAGAGAGTTCCCATAGTCCAGCCTTGAGGTGATAAAGGCGTGGACCAGAGTTTCAGCAGCGTGAGGGGTTAGGTAATGCCGTAGTCTGGCGATATTCCGGAGGTGATGGAAGGCGGTGCCAGTTGTGGTGTGGATATGAGGGAGAAACGACAGCTCAGGGTCGAACAGAACCCCGAGGTTCCTGATGGCTTTGAGAGGTGGAGAGTGCAGCCTTGGATGCTGATGCTGTCAGCGCCTGTTCGAGGAGGACGAGGAGGCAGAGGGAGCCCTGGTCACAGATGGTCAAGATGTCATTGGTGACCTTGACCAGGGCAGCTTCTGTGCTATTGGCAGCACGGAAACCTGACTGAAGGGGTTCGAATAATGAATGGGTGGAGAGGAAAGAGCGCAGCTGGGAGGCGACAACTCTTTCAAGGACCTTGGACAGGAAGGGGAGGTTGGAGATGGGCCGGTAGCTTGATAGCTGCGACGCATCAAGGGAGGGTTTTTTCAAAGTGGGAGTGATGATGGCAGTTTTTAGGGGAATGGGACAGAGCCAGAGGAGAGGGACAGGTTGACGATGTCTGTGATATGTGGGGCAAGGAGGTGGAGCTGGGAGATAAGGAGTGGAGTGGGGATGGGGTCAAGGGAGCAGGTGGTGGGTTTCAGGGATAGGATGAGGTTGGTGACAGAGGGTGGGGAAACGGGTACGAAGGTGTGTAGGGGAGGATGGGTAGGAGTCGGAGTGTGGGAGGGAGGGAGGGGGGTGGGTGGATGTTGGAGGGGAAGTGACGCAGAGCAAATTCCCTTGATTTTGGATTACCAAGGAAATCCAGCATCTCCTCGCAGTGAAGGTTGGAGGAGATGACCTGCGCGGGGTGGCGGGGGGGACGGAGGAGTCGGGATGTGGTAGAAAACAGTAGCCTGGGGTTGTTCTTCGCCTCCAGGATTATCCTGGAGTAGAAGGACGACTTGGCCGAGGCTAGAGTGGAGCGGTAGATTTTGAGGAGGTCCAGCCAGATTTGTCGGTGGACCGTTAGGCCAGATTTGACAGGTGCGTTCAGCGGCCCGCACCTGGCTTTTCAGTGAGCGGAGGTGGGTGGTGAACCAGGGGGAGGAGCGAGAGTAGGAGACAGTACGGGAGGTGATGGGGGCAAGAGTGTCGAGTGTGGAGGAGAGGGTGTTGTGGAGGAGGGTGAGAGGAGAAGAGGGGTCAGTGAGGGTTGAAGGCCAGAGGGAGAGGAGTTCAGAGGACTCCAAGGCAGTGGTTAGGGATTGTGGGGGTAACTTCTTCCAGGGGCGGTAGAAGATGGTGGTGGGTCTGGTGGAGGTGGGGAGGGGGGTGGAGGTGGTGAAGGAGATGAAGTGGTGGTCGGAGACGGCCTTGTCGGTGATAGTGACATCCGAGACACTGAGGCCCCGGGTGATCACCAAGTCGAGTGGGTGGCCGTGACTGTGAGTGGGGGAGTTGATGTGGAGGGGAGGTTGAGCGAGGAGAGCAGGGAAGAGAAGTCTGAGGAGATGGAGCAGGAGGGGGTGAAGTGCAGGTTGAAGTCGCCCAGGATGATGAGGCGATCAGAGCAGAGGCAGAGAGATGTAAGTAGTGTAGAAATATCGGAGATGAAGGTGGGAGAGGTTTTAGGGGGCCGGTAGAGGAGGAGGATTTTAAGGGAGAGGAATGAGGGGTGGGAGAGGGTGAGGTGCTCAAAGGAGGGGAAAGAGCCAGAGGAGTAGGGGGATAGGGCAAGTGGTGTCCTTGAGATAAGGGCAACACCACCGCCACGGCGGTTGGGGCGAGGGATGTGGTGGGAGGTATAGTCGGGTGGTGTGGCCTCCGTGAGGGGGAAGGTGTGACTTGGGGTGAGCCACGTTTCTGTTAAGGCCATGATGTCGACGCTCTCATCAAGGATGAGATCGTTGATGACCAGGGCCTTGTTCCCTCCAAAACAAAACAATAATAAATTGGTCATTTTCAATCTACGACTGTTTGTGGGACATTGCTGTGCGCAATTGGCTGCCGCGTTCGCCCACAAATATACAGTCAATTCACTTTACAGTGTGTTCCGTGAAGCGCTTTGGGACGTCCTCCCGACGTGAAAAGCGCTATATCAAATGCAAGGATTATTATTATTATTATTCTTACAGAGGGAGCGGCCGTCCGATGTGGAGGGAGCGGTTGACAGAGGGGTGTGTGGGAGGGAGGGGAGGGGGGGTCCAGGTTGTGAGGGGGGGTGGGGGGGGAGGGGGGCTCCCGGGGCTGTGTCCGGGGTGGCTGGGGAGTGTGGTGGGGAGTGTGGTGACTCTGACATACGGTGACAACAACAGACAAGTTACATTTACCTATGGCGCCATTACCCCCCACTCCCCCCCCCGGGCCGCCCCCCCGGGCCGCCCCCCTGGCCCCCGGGCCGCCCCCCCGGCCCCCCCCCGGCCCCGGGCCGCCCCCCGGGCCGCCCCCGGCCCCCGGGCCGCCCCCCCGGCCCCCGGGCCGCCCCCCGCCCCCGGGCCGCCCCCGGGCCCACCGCAGCCTCTCACCCGCCATGACGCCGCCATCACGCTCGGCCGCGCTCTGCGCATGCCCAGCTACCGCCGCTCGCCTCCAGTGCGCATGCTCCACCGTCTCCACCTCCGTCACTAGGGACGCGAGGCCTCGCGCGGCTCTCAGAGCGGGAGACGGGGGGAGTGTGTGCGGGGACTGTGTGTGTGGGGGGGGTGTGGGGGGAGTGTGTGTGTGGGGGAGTGTGGGGGTGAGTGGGGGGAGTGTGTGTGTGGGGGGGGAGTGGGGGGGGAGTGTGGGGGGGTGTGGGGGGGTGAGTGTGTGTGGGGGAGTGTGGGGGTGAGTGGGGGGGGGGAGTGTGGGGGGGGTGTGGGGGGAGTGTGGGGGGGGAGTGTGGGGGGGGTGAGTGGGGGGAGTGTGTGTGGGGGGGGAGTGTGGGGGGACTGTGTATGTGTGGGGGGGTGAGTATGGGGGAGTGTGTGTTGGGGAGAGAGTGTGTGTGTGGGGGGACTGTGTGTGTGGGGGGGGTGAGTGTGGGGGGAGTGTGTGTTGGGGAGAGTGTGTGTGTGTGGGGTGGAGAGAGAGACTGTGTAGGGGGTTGAGACTGTGTGTGTGTGGAGGGGGAGAGAGACTGTGTAGGGAGGGGAGGAGAGAGATTGTGTGTGTGTGTGGAGGAGGGGAAGAGACTGCGAGTGTGTGGAGGGGCGGAGAGAGAGACTGTGCGCGTGTGTGGGACGGGTGAGAGACTGTGTGTGTGGGGGGGGGAGAGTGAAGGAGACTGTGTATTTGTGTGTCTGGTAGGGGAGAGAGAGGAAAGTGATAGGAATAAGGAGGGGGTTGAGAGACGGGGATAGAGAGGGAAAGAAAGGGTGGAGATAAGAAGAGCGAGAGTGAGGGAAGAGAGATGAGGGTGAGATAAAGATTGATTCCAGGACCAGCGCTGTCCTGTGGGACATCAAGTCCTGGATGAGAGCTTACTTTTTCGAAAAGACTGAGGTCTTCCTGCTTGGCTCCCATCAGCGCCTCCCCACCTCGGGCACTGACAGCATCGGTCTTCACGGATTACACCTCACGGAGCCGGTGTGGAACTTTGGTGTCTTTTTCAATCCTCACCTGTTCTTTAAACCTGACTTTGTGCAGTCCTGCAGCTGTGGTTAGAGCACTCGCCTCGCAAACGAGAGACCTGGGTTCGTTTCCCGGCAGGGCGAAATGTTATAATAATAATAATAATAATAATCATCCTTGCATTTGATATAGTGCTTTTCAGAAATGTTAAGCAAGTTTCTTTACTCCACACACCTCTGTTTACCTAGCAGTAAATTGCAACCCAGTTGTTAGTCGATTGGCGGATTGCTTTTCTGAGGGTAATAATTTCTTCAAAAAAATAATAAATTGGTCACTTCAATCCACGACTGTTTGTGGGGCACCGCTGTGCGCAATTCGCCGCCATGTTTTGCCCACAAAATATACAGTCAATTCACTTTACAGCTCCCACACACATCTTCACTCGAGTTTCCAGCTTTGGGTCATCATCCCAATGTGAGAGGAGCTATATAATAATAATAATAATAAACCTTGTATTTGATATAGCGCCTTATCAAGTTTTCGAGAAGTCTCAAAGCGCTTCACAGAATATACTGTAAAGTGAATTGACTTTATATTTTGTGGGTGAAACGCGGCAGCCAATTGCATACAGCAGTGTCCCACAAACAGTCATGGATTGAGTGACCAATTTTTTTTGGGGGGGGGGAATTATTACCCCCAGAAAAGCGATCCGCCAATTGACTAACAAGCCGGATTCCTATAAATGTGAAGTTTATACTGTACTGTTATACTGTGTGGCATTAGGCAGGTGTGGCTTTCCAGGGAGAGAGAGAGCACATTCCATTCCAGACAGATTTCCATGTGCAGGAGGCATACTTATGTGGACTCAGATTGTTTTGGAGATTGCGCTGCACAGAGAGGGTTTCCATATGTGTCAGACACCTGGCTAAGCAATACAAACGCTGAGAGACACAGAGAGAGGGCACTAGACTGAGTGTGAGTCAGAGAGACATTGTGTAAGAGCGAGTGTGTGAGAATGAGTGTGTGTGTGTCAGAGAGAAAGTGAGTGTGTGTGTGAGAGTCTGGAATCCCGTAACTCAGTTCCCATTCCCTTAAAAACTGCCACCATCACTCCCACCTTGAAAAAACCTTCCCTTGATGCGTCTCAGCTATCAAGCTACCGGCCCATCTCCAACCTCCCCTTCTTGTCCAAGGTGCTTGAACGAGTTGTTGCCTCCCAGCTGCTCTCTTTCCTCTCCACCCATTCATTATCCAAACCCCTTCAGTCTCCGCAGCCCACAGAAGGTGCTGACTGGGACCTGCTCCCTGCGTTCCTCATCTTCCTCACACTCATCCCCCGACCCATAGTCTTCATCATCATCGTCATCATCTTCATCCTCTTCCTCACTGTAGCCCATTCCTGCTGTGGATGAAACCCCAAATATTAACTAACCACCACTGAACGTTGCCTCGTCCCAGATAGTCAGCCTCCGATAGGGCATTTTTTTTAATGTATAGTGGGGAGAATCTCCACCAGCCCTAGGAATTTCCCAGCAGTAAATTGCTCTTCCATAATATTAATACTAAATAATGAATTCGTCAGCATGGGTCAAGCAGTCACCTTTTTTTTACAGACTATTATTTGATAATTTGTGACATTGCATGATTATTACTTAATAGATTCCTGCTTTCATATTATTTTAATCATCTTAAGATTTGAAACAAATACAGGAAGCATTGCTTTATCTGTAGAGATCTGTGTTTAATGTTTCTAGCAGTGGGATAAAAGTGCCCTTTTTGAGTTCAGTCCCCACCAGTGACAATTCCTTGAAAAATTCCCTGGCTTCTGAGCAAACTTTTGCTCCCAATCCCAGCCTCTGAGCAAAACTCCTATTGACTGATGAAACTTTGTTGAACTGACCATTATGCTGTTGTTCTGCTGTAAAGTTTGCTTTGTAACCTTGCTAGCCCCAATTAATGTTTTCTTTCCTTATCTGGTGTCCTTGTGTTTGTTGGTGCAGTCAGTCATGTAGAAAAGGAATGTGTAAATATATGGTCTTTGTAATATGAGAAGTGAAACAAGAAAATGGTATCTGTGAGACAATGCAGATGGCTTTGGTGAGAATTGTAGGAAGGCAAGCTAAGAAAATAAGTGGGTTTCGATTTGACCAGTGGGTCACTGTAGCTGTGACTTGTTTGAAGAGATTTGGGAAGAGAGTAGTGAGGCCGCTGTTCAGGGAACTATCTGCCTTTCTGTCACTTTGCAGTGGATAATTGAACTAAACTGCTCTAGTGAGCTTGGTTATCTGGCAACCTAAACTATTAGACTCAATTGCCTGATCCCAGTGTCTAGGCAAAGCTCCGCTCCTAGGCCCAGCTCCGAGCAAAGCCCCGCTCTCAATCCCAGTCTAGGACAGAACTTTACTCCTAATCTTGTGCAGTCCTGTAGTTTGCTTGCCTTGCAAGCGAGAGGACCCGAGTTCAATTCCCGGGCGGGGCAACCCCTTAGGCAAGTTTCTTTACTCCACATGCCTCTGTTTGGCTAGCAGTAAGTAGGAACCCAGTTGTTAGTCGATCGGCGGATCGCTTTCCGTGAGTAATAATCCCTCCAAAAAAAAAGTGGTCACTCAATCCACAGCTGTTTGTGGGTCACTGCTGTGTGCAATTGGCTGCCACATTTCGCCCACAAAATGCAGTCAATCCACTTTACAATATATTCCGTGAAGCAATTTGAAACGTCTCAATGACGTGATAAGTCTCTATATCAAATGAAAGGATTATTACTAATCCCGTTCCCAGATGGAATTCTCGTCCACACATTACCAAACACCCAGCGATCCATCAGTCCCGTGGGAGTCAGGTGAAGGGTTGACTTTTGCTCCAATCTTCCCGATGGCTCCTCGACCAGTGTCTCCGCCTGTTACACCAAATCAGCCGGCAATCAACGTCCGCTTACCCAGTGTTCCCTCCCTCCCCCCCCACCCCCACCCCCAACTAGTTACCAGCTCAATTTAACTCCGTGGCTGTTAGTTACCAGCTCAGCTTAACTTCATAGTTGCGGTCAATTAAATTTAGTTTAACCTGTGAAACGTTTTGAGACGTTTCGACGACAAGACACTTTATCAAATGCAAGCATTGCTATAGCTGCCAGTTACCAGCTCAGTTTAACTCCAAGGCCACAGACTGTACAGCACGGAAACAGGCCACTCGGCCCAACCAGTCTGTGCCAGTGTTTATACTCCACACAAGTCTTCACCCACTCCTCACTCCCCCCCACACTCTTTTCCCCTGTCCCTCATGTGAGGGGCTAGCTTCCTCCGGGTTACCACACAGCCACTAGTTACCAGCTCACCTTAAACTCCACAGTTGCTGGTTACCAGCCAGTCACCAGATCTGAACCGGGCTCCGAGCGGAAGAATTGAGAAATGAAAGTAAAACCTAGAAGTGATTGGCCACTCTGAGGCTGTCAGTTAACCCCTCACCTCCCTCCCTGCTACACACAGCAGGTCAGAGCCCAGCCAGCACTGCACAGGGGCCGAGTCACACCCAGAGGCTCTCCCTCACTCCAGGTCCGCCAGCCGCAGCAGGGACTCTGAGCTCACGGGCAAGCCTCAGGCTCCAGTGCACTGATGGGGGGAGAGAGCGTAGCATTGTCAGTGCAAACACACACACACAAGCTGTTTTCTTTCACACACACACTCACGCACATTCACAGGCTTGCTCTCCCTCTCACATGCAACACACATACAATACACACACTCCCTCTCACACACCCACATGCTCTCCCCCTCTCACACATATGCTCATTCTCCCTCACACACACACACTCTCTACCCCAGAAAAGCAATCCGCCAATCGACCAATAACAACCAGTTTCTTACTTACTGCTTGGTAAACAAAGGTGCGTGGAGTAAGGAAACTTGCCCAACGTTTCGCCCTGTCGGGAATCAAAAACAGGTCTCGCTTGGGAGTGCTCTACAACAACAACAAGATTCCATTTATAGAGCGCCTTTCACGTCGGGAGGACGTCCCAAGGCGCTGGACAGTTGGGTCAAGACCTGAGCATTGGGAGGGGGGAAATGGTCGAGGGGAGGGAAGGGAGGGAGCGAGGAGGGGGTAGAGAGTCGAGAGGGGAGCTGAAGGCTCGGTCAAGAGAAAGGTCTTGAGACCGGCCTTGAAGGAGGAAAGGGAGGAAGCGGCAAGGCACTGGGGGATGGAGTTCCAGAGCCTCGGGACTGAGAGGCTGAAGGCCCGACCACCGATGGTAGGGCGGTTGGGGCGGGGGATGTGGAGCAGACGGAGCCAGAGGAACGGAGGGTACGGGCAGGTAGGTAGGGGATAGTAGGTCGGAGAGGTAGGAGGGAGCGAGGCCTGAATGGCCTTGTAGGTGAGGGTGAGGATCTTGAATTCGATCCTCTGGGGGATGGGGAGCCAGTGGAGGCGAGCGAGGGTGGGAGTGATAGTGGTCGCGAGGCCTGGTGCGGGACAGTACACGAGCTGCAGAGGTCTGAATGACCTGCAGTGTGGAGGGAGGTGGCGGGAAGGCCGGCGAGGGGAGAGTTCCCATAGTCCAGCCTTGAGGTGATAAAGGCGTGAACCAGGGTTTCAGCAGCGTGAGGGGTGAGGTAGTGCCGTAATCTGGCGATATTCCGGAGGTGATGGAAGGCGGTGCCAGTTGTGGTGCGGATATGAGGGAGAAAGGACAGCTCAGGGTCGAACAGAACCCGAGGTTCCTGATGGCTTTGAGAGGTGGAGAGTGCAGCCTGGATGCTGATGCTGTCAGCGCCTGAGGTGCGGAGGCGCTGACGTGAGCCAATCAGGAGGACCTCAGTTTTACGCACGTTGAGCTGAAGAAAGTTGTCTCTCGTCCAGGACTCGATGTCGGACAGGCAGTCTGTCAGGGCATCGGGGGTCGTGGAGTTGAGAGTAGAGGAGGAAAGGTAGAGTTGGGTGTCATCCGCATACATGTGGAAGTTAACCCCATGTCTGCGGATGATGTCACCACAGGGGAGCATATAGAGGGTGAAGAGGAGGGACCCGAGGACAGAGCCCTGAGGGACACCGCACGAGACAGTGCGGGGGCTGGAGGAAAAGCCGTTCGTGGAAACAAAGTGAAGATGGTGGGAGAGGTACAACCTAAACCACTCAAGGACAGGGCCTTGAAGGTTGAGGTGGGAGGACAAGCGGTGGAGGAGGATAGCATGGTCGACCGTATCGAATGCTGCCGATAGGTCGAGGAGGATGAGGAGGCAGAGGGAGCCCTGGTCACAGATGGTCAGGATGTCATTGGTGACCTTGACCAGGGCAGTTTCTGTGCTATGGGCAGCACGGAAACCTGAATAAATTGGTCACTTCAATCCACGACTGTTTGTGGGGCACCGCTGTGCGCAATTCACCGCCATGTTTTGCCCACAAAATATACAGTCAATTCACTTTAACAGCTCCCACACACATCTTCACTCGAGTTTCCAGCTTTGGGTCATCATCCAATGTGAGAGGAGCTATATAATAATAATAATAATCCTTGATTTGATATAGCGCTTTCAGTCGGAGGACGTCCAAAGCGCTTCACAGAATAACTGTAAAGTGAATTGACTGTTATATTTGTGGGGAACGCGGCAGCCAATTGCACAGCAATGTCCCACAAACAGTCATGGATTGATGACCAATTTTTTTTGGGGGGGGGAATTATTACCCCAGAAAAGCGATCCCCAATTGACTAACAAACCGGATTCCTATAAATGTGAAGTTTATACTGTACTGTTATACTGTGTGGTATTAGGCAGGTGTGGCTCTCCAGGGAGAGAGAGCACATTCCATTCCAGACAGAGATTTCCATGTGCAGGAGGCATACTTATGTGGACTCAGATTGTTTTGGAGATTGCGCTGCACAGAGAGGGTTTCCATATGTGTCAGACACCTGGCTAAGCAATACAAACGCTGAGAGACACAGAGAGAGGGCACTAGACTGAGTGTGAGTCAGAGAGACATTGTGTAAGAGCGAGTGTGAGAATGAGTGTGTGTGTGTCAGAGAGAAAGTGAGTGTGTGTGTGAGAGTGTGGAATCCCGTAACTCAGTTCCCATTCCCTTAAAAACTGCCACCATCACTCCCACTTGAAAAAACCTTCCCTTGATGCGTCCAGCTATCAAGCTACCGGCCCATCTCCAACCTCCCCTTCTTGTCCAAGGTCTTGAAGAGTTGTGCCTCCCAGCTGCCTCTTTCCTCTCCACCCATTCATTATTCGAACCCCTTCAG